CAAGATTGCTCAGCTTTACCTCATGAAGGGTAATTAGAACAGCTGCTTTAGGCCGAGGGTCATTCCAACGTTGGGGTCATCTCCGAGTTGTCATCTTTTGACTGCCTTCTCCCTGGAGATTTGGTCGGACAGTTCTGGTTCCTGGTAAGCCGAGGATGCTGGACTGTTGTCATGGACATCTTTGTCATGTGAGAAGACTAGATCTTGTTTCAAAAACGCTCTGGGGATGTTGATTTTCTTCTCCTTTCCCCCTTTCCTCCCCCCTTCGTTTTCTCTCCTCCTCCCCGTTTTGGCAGGCAGTCTACCAGGTTAGGTTCACACAGTTCTTTCTCTTCTTCTGTGGCAGTGGTTCCTCTGTCAGTTCAGCCTTCCAGGCTGAGCTGTTTCCACGTGCCGGGTGCACCCCCACTCAGAGGTTGGTGTGGAGCTGCGTGGTGGTGTATAAATAAGGTAGCCCAGCCCACAAGGCCTTTCTGTGCCCTGGCTATGGGATCAGGGCCTGGCGCTGTAGCCTCTGCTCGCGAGGATGGTTCTTGCCCAGAGTGGGTAACTTCCTCACTGGCATGTGCTCAGTGGCACTCAGCCGAAGGCTTGGTGAGCCCACAGCCTGATTTCTTTCTCTCCAGGCACCTCTCCTAGTTTTTTTTTTCTTTGTCCTGCAAACTCCAGCCGTCTGGAGCTACGCGAATCCTCAGCTCGGTCCCATCAACGACCACTGGGCTCCGCGTGGCTTCCTCCTCCCTGCACTGCAGCCTGGACATCTGTCCAGGCCGTCGGCTCTGACACCTGAGGGTGCACCGCATTTGTCTCCCTTCTCTCTCGCACTGCCTGTTTTCCCGCATCTGGAAACCACTGCTTTCTATTTGTCTTGTTTTTTACTTAAATCAGTGGGGTAAATCCAGCCCCCTACTTCATCGTGGCTGGAAATGGAGGTCAGACCAAGCACTGAGGGGGTATTCGACACAGACGTGGCTTCTATCCCTGCAGAACATTCCCTGCCACCCTCATCGCCATGACTGTCATCTGCTCAGGCCCCTGCACTTTGTTCTCTCACACTGGTGCCAATGAGACAGTGGCTTTTTGTTGGCATTTTAGCCACCTGGTGCTAAGGACTAGACAGCGCTCTCGGGAAAGTCGTGTAAACTTGGATCTCTCCCACTGCTTCCCTGCTTTCAAGGCTTGAGTACCCTTCGATTTCTCACTGCTTGTCACTCTCCAGTACCTTCACATGGTTCTTCTTCATATTTGTTACGAGTGTGTACTTGCTGTCCATGGGTTTTTCCATGACTACTGACCCTGTTTGACTCTTACAACCTCCAGCAGGGTGGATGTTTATGCCATGTTAACTATTTTACCAATGAAGGGGCTAAAGTTCAGGGTGGCTAGGTGGCTGGGTCAAGGTCACCGGGCTAGGAATCAGCAGAGCCGTGCAAGTAGGACTGCAAAGCTGTTTACCTGTGCGCTGTGGAATGCAGAAACGTGGTGTGCTCCCACAGAACGCAGAAACGTGGTGTGCTCCCACAGAAGTGGACCTTGGCTTTTGGGGTCAGGCAACTAGGAATCACAGCCCTGATGTTTTCATTCACTGGCCCTGAGCGTCTTGCGCCATGCCCGGAACTTGAATTGATCCCAGCTACAACTGAGTATGAGAGTGGGTTTTTCGTGGGCGTTAGAGAGGGAGCAGGCATCTGGTGAACTACAGTCAGAGGGCTCTCTTAGTGTGAATTCAACCTGCTTCTCATCTGCTCAAAACTCACTGGCTCCCATTGCTCTCAGAATAAAAACTCAACTCCCGGCGTGGCCTGCAAGGCGGTGGCCTGCTCCGGCCCTGCCCACCCTCTCACCCCACCTCAGCCCCCTCTACACCACTTTCTCCCTTCCTTTCTGCTCCGCCAGCTTGGCATCACCTGTCCCGCCCTCGGGCCTTTGCACATGCAGTCCCCGCTGCCTGGAGTTGCTCCTTGCATCTTCTGCACCATTTACTATCCACTCGTCCTTGTATCTCAGCTCAGATGTCACCTAGCGGAGGAAAGCTCTCCTCGGGGCCCCCTCTGCCGTAGCTGCGCTTTGCGGGCTGTTTGTTTAGGGCACAGTTTCTTACCCGAGCTGTGAAGGACGGGGGCTTCGTTGTTCTGCAGCCCCGGGAGGGAAGGGGCCCTTCTGGGCCCAGCTGGCTGGCAGGGCTGTGCTCGCCAGGCCCGCCCGACCCGAGGCGCATCACCCGCCGGATGCATTCGTCTAGTGTCTGAAAATTCTCCGAAACCCCCACAAAGAACCAGCCCTTTGCAGGGGAGGGCGGCCCGGCAGGGGCTGCGGGCTTCCGAACCTTCCCAAGCGGCCCAGGACGGCGGGCGCGACGCCAGCAGGTGCCACTGACCTCGTCTGCGCAGGCGCGGCCGGCTGCTCCCACGCTCAGCTCCTGTGGTCCCCACGCCAACAGGCCTTCGTCGTGGGCGGCCGGTCACGACGCCGTCCCGCTGGGGTGCTGGGCGAGGGGCCGGGCTCGGACCCAGGCCTGTCGCACGGGCCCCCCTGCCGCCCGCAGCGGTGCGAGGCCGGCACCTACCCGCGTGTCTCCCCCGCAGTCCCAGCGGGCCAACCGGAAGCCGGCCCACCGCGGGCACCGCCCCTTCCGCCTGGGAAGCCCCTCCCCCTCCACCAGGGGTGTAAACCAGGTTCCTGAGGTTTTCAGTTTGGGGGATTGTGTTTTCACTGTTTTCTCGACGGAGGCGCGCTCCCTGGCCTGGTCCCCGGAGCTCTCGGGCCGCAGTGCGGACTGGAGGGGAACAGCCCCACACTGGGAGTCGGGGAGGGCCCGGGCCACCCCTGGGGCGCTGGCCTTCTGGACACTCCGGCCCTCACACCCCCTGCCCCCGGCCCCCCGATGGTGCCGCCAGGGAAGACGTGGCGCCCCTGGGCCGTCAGGGCGGCTGGCAGCCCCTCCCGCCCGCCCCAGCCCGTGGGCGCGGACCCCCGCCCGTGGGCGCGGACCCCCGCCCGGGCCGCGTCCTGCAGGAGCTGAGCCTGGCTCAGGGTGCAGGGCTGAGCCACCGCTCGCATGATGACAGCATCTCAGATGTGCGTGGGGCCTGGTACTTTTCCAAGGGCTTTTAAATGCATTATCTTGGTGGAGGCTCATTTGAGGCAAGGGCTTGAAGCAGACTGGAAAACAACTCATTTACTGACTCCTGAATGGGGAGGAAGCTGAGTGCAGCCTATGTTTTTGCTGAATCTCAAACCAAAACAACCTTTTGTTAAAGAACAAACAAATAAACAAAAATGCTGAACATCCATTCACCAGGGAACATGGTCTGAACGGAGGCTCTGGGCAGAGAATCATGCAGCAAATTCAAATTCAACAAACATGTATTGGGGGAGGGGGCTGCTGGGGTCACAGATGGGCTCATGAGGGGCCAGAGAGGGATGGTGCGAGGTCCTTCCTCTCACGAACAGGCTGGGGGTGAGGGGTAAGCAACAGCATCCTCGTCTTGAGGTGGGTGGGTGGTGAGCCTGGAATCTCAACCACAAGGGTGGCTTCCCCCCCCCAGGGTCCAGTGGCCTCGTTCTCCTGAGAGCCAGGTAACATGTCCGAAGCAACTCCCCTGACATGGCCACCTTGAGTGACACAGTGTCTTCCCAGGCCTGCAGAGGTCCCCCAGAGCCTGACACAGGCTCTCCCCTGGTGTCACCATCTGTGCTGACACAGACCTGACCTTTGGGGATGGGGTTCTTGTCTCAGTGCTGGGGATCAGAATTTAGGCCACTCTCCTGAGGTGCTGCTGACTGCACCCCTCTTTTGCACAGCCCACAGGACATGGACTGGCTGGCCTTCAACGTCACAGGCCAGGCGAAGCAGCCGTCTTGTCTTTAAGCGCTTCGGCCATTGGGAGAGCAAGGCCTTTGGCTCACGGCGACCCCTCCCCCGCCCACAGTCTCCATGATGCCAGGCATGCAGGCCAGGCCCTGAGCCTGCAGCTGGTCCCCAGCTGGGTCCCTGGCCCTAAGGCTGCCTTTGTGCCCGCACAAGGGAGACTCAGTTCGTCTCCTGCTCCTGACCCTGCATCCTGCAGCCCCCTGGTGTGGGGGGGGGAGCGGACAGTGCCAGCTGCCTGGAGAAGGAACTAGACCACCTCAGTGACCTCTGTCTCCTTCGGGGCATCTTGGAGGGAAGCTGGTGAGAGCTGCGTATCGCAGGCCATTAAGCAGGCTAATGACCCATGAAGGCTCCTGGCCCTTCCGGCCACCCTGGTCGTGCTTCCCCTGGGCTCGAGCCCGCTACTCACCGACAGCCTTGTGACCGCTATTATTGTTACTTAATGTGTCGGGACACAGTTTTCCCAGGCAGGACCCAGGTCATGGAGCCCTGCTTGCCTTTTCCGGCTGAGCCATGGCTCTGCACACAGCAGGCAGTTAATAAATATTTATTTGGAATCAAGCCCAGAAAGAGTCACCTTGATTTCCAAGGCTGGGGAAGGAACTTGGAGTCTGGGGACACTTGGGCAGGGGTGAGGTAGTCAGTGGGCCGGCAAACAGCCTGGGGACATGTGTCCTGCAGCCACCTCTGCCAGGTGGGGCCTGAGTCCCTGATCTCTGTGCCCAGGTGGCTGCTGGGACGGAGCACAAGGTGAGACAGGCCCTGCCTCCACTCAGCGAAATTCTGGAGAAGCTGGCTCCCGGGTGCCCTGGGGCCCCCTCACCTGCTCCACCTGGCCCCAAGTGGGAGGTCTCCCTGAGTCCTGGCCAGGTCTTGCCCTTTGGCGCTAGGATTGGGCCTTTAGTGCCAAGGAAACATACCCGACTCAGTATGACACTCAGCACCAGGATGTGCTAGGGGGCTGGGACAGCCTTCTCTGCAGCTCTGGGCTCTCAAAACCTGATGGTCATCTGGGAGGAGGAGCCAGCAGGCCGGGGCCTCAGACCCAGAGGCAGGCCTGTTCTCAGGGTGGGTTGCTAAAACAGGGCAGGAGAAAGAGCGAGACAGAGGCAGAGATGCGATGTGGTGCAGCCATGTTTAATTCAACACCAGTGAATTCTAAAGGGCCAGAGTAGAGACTCCTCCTGCTCTATGAAATTGAGTCCCCGAAGCAAGTCACCTCCATCCTTTCAAAGGGCTAGGTTGCCTAGAGACAGCAGCAGCCCTGGCTGGAGCAGGGGCCTGGGCTCTCTGTAATGCGGGTGTCATGTGGGGAGCCTGGGGCTGGAAACGGCCACGGGCACGTAGCCGGGCACCAAGTAGATGCAGGAGGCCTGAGGACCAGCAGGCCAAAGGCGTTGGGGCCGCCCATGCGTCCTGGGGCCAAGGTGGTGTGGAGGCCCCAGGAGTGTGCGCAACTGCAGGAGCCGGTGGGGGGCCTGCAGGCATCTCACACACAGAAACAGCCCCAGTGCCTCCCGCCCCTCCTCCAGGGTCCCACCAACCCCTAAGCTGTCTCTTAGGACATAAGGAGGCATTTCCATCATCATGACAATTAAAAACAGAAAGAAACCCATCTTAAGGTATCGTCTTCCGACTGCTCCTTGTTCATTAGTGCAAAGTGAGGCGGAGCCCCTGCCGTCGGGCCAGTGGGCAGCTGGCGTCACACAAGCCTGCGCCTCTTGGAGCCCCTCTCCGTGTCACCCTCCTGGGCATCTTCCTCACAGCCGAGCGGGGACACCAGGTTCAGCAGAGGGTCCTCGGAGGCTCGCCCGAACAGCGCCAGGAGGAGCGCCACCCCGAAGCCCGTGGCGCGCTCGCCCTGTGAACGAAGCGCAGGCGGGCACCCCGCCGGTGGAGCCTGCTCAGCAAGCCCCGCTGTGGGGAGGGGCGCTGGGCCAGGGAAAGGACACCCACCCCCACTTTCCCTGCAGACCCCTCTGCTGTCCTGCCACACTCGGGGCCAAGGAGCGCTCTGGCCTCAACCCAGGTCTCATCAGAGTGTGAAAGGGCCCTGGGCCCCTTGCCGAGGCCGGGCTGGCCGGGAAAGGACGAGAACAGAGGTCGGGGGACCACAGCTGGCCAGGAGGCTGGGCCGTGAGCAGTGTGACCCTCCACACACCATGTTTCCATGAGCTCAGCCTGCAGCCCTGGGGCCAGGGAGGGGCTCTGGATGTGCAGGAGGTGGGAGCCTGGCCAAGGGGGCGGGGGGGAAGCGGACTGGGGGCCAGCCACGGAAGCGTCCTAACGGGGGGACACCCACGGGCCCGGGACTCACGGCGTGCACCGGCGCAGCGATGTCCAGGTGGACCCAGACCCCGGGCCAGTCGAAGCCAATGTGTGAGGCAATGAAAAGGCCGGCACAGGAGCTGGGGCTGTTGTCCCGGTCCTGGGGGCGCAGAAGGACAGACACTGACCCTCCCCTCCAGCACGGGGGATGGGCTCCACCGAGGGCACCATCAGGGCTGCTGCTGCCTGGGCCCGCCCCCCCAGCCTCAGTCCCGCCTCCTCTGGCGTCTGAAAGGGCCTGTGGGGAGGGTGCGGTGCAGGTGGGGCACCTGAGGGTCCCAGGACCCCAAGGACCTTGCAAGAAGCTTGGTCTGCCTTCACCCCAGGGCAGGGGGGCAGCCAGTGAAGGAACTGACTGGGGCATCAGATGGACCCCAGATGGGGGGAATGCTGCAGCAGACGGGGGGATGGGCGGGCAGGGAGCCTGGGAGTGGTGCACCCCGCCTTTGGATGCCCCCCCACTGCACAGCGCTGGGGCTTCACGGTGGACCCTCGTCTATACTGCTGCCGTTTTCTGGGGCCAGGCTGACTCCCCGAGAGCAGGGCCCTGCCTGCCCCGCTCCGCCGCGCTGGCCGCCTTACCGCTACGGAGTTCTTCATGTCGGCCACGGCCGAGGCGAACTCGCTGAAGTGCAGCTCGGGGCAGTAGACGAGCGGGTGCACCAGGTCCCCGCACTTCCTCCCGGACTCCACGCAGGCCGCCTCCCACTCGGCGCTGTTGGTGAGCACGGCCGCGTGGTACTTGCCCGTGGCGATGCCCTGGGAGGTGGCCCGGAGACCAGGGAGAGGCGGACGGAGCCCCGGGGACAGAGAGGACACAGTTGAGAGAGGCGGGTGAGAGGCAGACAGCCGTGGGGGGGGGGGGTCCTGTCCACCCCGACCTGGCACCCAGGCCTCAGCCCACCCTCCCGGGTGCCATGGACCAGCTCCTCGGTCCCCTACTCAGGTGAGGAGGAGGAAGTAGCAGGAGCCCCTCCCCCCGGAGGCCAGGTGGCCTTAGGCTCCCACCTGTGCTCCGGTCAGCGTGGCCATGTCCAGGATGATGTCGGCCCCCAGGTCCTTGCAGGCGTAGGACACACCGTCCGCCAGCACCAGCCTGCCTTCAGCGTCCGTGTTGTTGATTTCCACAGTTCTGGGGGCGGCAGAGACCCCGCTCAGGGTGGCGTTCCCTGGGGCACCGGGAGTGAGTCCCTTTGGAGCTGGGTGACCCCGTCTACAGCCCTCGTTTCTGTAACTCCCACTGGGGGTGGGGGCAGAGCCACACTGTCCCCTACAGCCATGCAGTGCCAGGGTCATCGGGTCAATCCCGCCCTGTCTCTCTCCAGCTGGGAGCTGGGGCAAGCCACCCGGCTCCCGTGCCTCAGTTTCCTCATCTGTAAGGCGGGAGAACAGGGCTGCGTGGGCGGTATTTACACGGTTCCTGGCCCCAGGTAAATGCAGAGGATGCACTTTGTTTACAGCAACCCTTGGGACGGGCCCCGTGGAGTGGGGGAGAAAGGGTTCATCCCACTAAAGCAGAGTGGAGCTCAAGCTCCTGAGCCAGGGGTACCCCTGGGAGCAAGCAGCCTGCGGCCCAGGGCTGCCTGTCACAGGGTGTCCTCCAATAGGATTCGCCCCTGGCTGTCCCCCAGCCCGGCATGGCTCAAGCGGACAGCACACCCAGAGGGCGCTGGGCTGACACGCAGCACGCGGAGGGCTGCCTTACTTTCCTGAGTACAGCAGGTGGATGTCATCGGGCCTCGTGGCGTTGGGCCCCACTGAGTTCTCGGCCAAGCAGAACACGGCGTGCAGACTGTCTTTGAAACCCTGCGGGGGGCGTGGCAGAGGCTCCAGTTACAGGCTGGTGGTGCTCAGACCCCTGGCGCCCTGACAAGCTCCGGCCAGTGAGGGGCAGAGAGCAGAGGATCCACGCGCGTCCGCCACCCCCCGCAGGGCTCACGGAGGGCCTGTGGCTCGTGGCCCTGCCTCAGAGACCCTAGGGAGGCCCGTCCGAGGCGGCGGGTGGGGCAGGGCCTGGCTCCGAGCCTGCCTTGGGAGGTCCTGGCCCCTCTGCTGCTGAGAAGCCCGAGCTGTCGGGAGGCCCGCCCGTGTGGACCGAGCCCCTTCCTCCTGCAATTTCTGCTGGACTCCTGACGGGCATGAATTAGAAACTTTGCCGGTTAGAAACCTGCTCTCACTTAGATCCACCCCAAGAAGCATGGCGAGCAGGTGGGCCCTGCAGAGGGAGAGGGGAGGCCTTGTGTCTGGTGACAGGAAGGGCTGGGCCGCTTAGAAGCCGTCTGAAGGAGCTGCTCTAAGGAGTGAGTCACCCCGAGGTGGTCAGGACACACCACACCTTTGCTGAACAAACACTTCTCATGGCGCAAACCCCGCCCCACCTACCCGGTGATCACGGCCTCGGGGCAGGGGCGGCTGCCCTGGAGACCTGGCTTCCTCTGTGGTTAGAACCTTTGGCCTCCATGTGAGGGGGGACCCACTGACCTGCATGACGGCAGCTCTGAAGGCCCCCAGGATGGCTGCAGCACCCCCGCAGTCTCTCTTCATCCCGGGCATGGTGGTCTGGGGACAGCAGGGGGGAGAGAGGGCTGAGTTGGCCCTGACTGGTAAGCAACTGCCCCACCTGCCCCGCTCCACTCTGCCCAGGCTCCCCAGGGCCCGGGGGCTCCCCAGACCCACAGGACCTAGAGAAGAGAAGCCAGGACACCCCCCCTGCTCCGGCAGTACTCTCCAGGAGCAAGGGGAAGTAATGGCCGGAGACCAGGGACTCTCACTCGAGCAGAGCCAGGGGGTTGTCCAAAGGAACTGAGCCCGCTGGGGGAGGGGAGGAGGCCCACATGAAGACCCCCCAGGAAGACAACAGTGTGCCGTCCACAGCTGCTGTATTTGCCGTGGCCACGCTGCTACGTAGACACGGCCACCAGGGCTGGGAGGCTGGGCTGCAACCCCGTCCCCAGCCGCCCAGGACAGGCCCACTCCCTGGCACTGGCATTTCAAGGGCCTGGGTGACACTTTCTTTCTCTGCTCTCTTTGTGGCTCCAGGTCACTTTCTTTTTCTTTTTTTTTCCCTTAATCCTCACCTGAGGATGTTTCCCTCTGATTTTTATTTATATATATATTTTTTTGTTAATCCTCACTTGAGGATATTTTCCCATTGATATCTAGAGAGCATGGAAGGGAGAGGGAGAGAGAGAGAGTGAACATCGATGTGAGAGAGAGAGACATCGATTGGTCGCTTCCCATGTGACCCTGATCGGGGCCGGGGATGGATCAGGTATGTGCCTTTGACCAGAATCGAACCCCAAACCCTTCGGTCCTTGGACGCTCTAACTGCTGAGCCAAACTGGCCAGGGCTACATGTCAATTTCTTGAATAATCTGCTAGGGTTAATGTGACCTCTTGCCAAATGTCACGTTCCCATTGCCAATCCCCCCAACTGGCAAGGACGCCGGCGGCCCCCCCACCCTGCCCACCTCTGCCGGCATCTCCTGGGCAGACCGGTCTAACGAGAGGCGGCCAGACATGGAGGCGCCCTCCGGCACAGAGGTGAACGGGATTTTCTACACACTGGTGGAGAGTGGTCCCACAGTTCTACATTTTATAGCCTCCCGACGCTAACTGACAAGTTCGTGGTTTAAATTAACAGCAGGTCATCCCATGTAAGGGTTCGAGTTTGAAAGGTCCTGAGCAATGTTTCGAACCTTTATCAGATTACATGAGCCTTGAGTTTTAATGGAAAGTATTTTTAGATAAAAACTGAGCTGCTTTTACAATTCAATCGAGTGAAAATGGCCCAGCTAGCACCATTGAAAATAAGCTGTCTCTTTTGACCTAAATGGCGAGAAAGTACAGAACTGTCTAAGCGGAAAAGACAGGGCCTCGGATCTAGACTCAAACCCCTCGCAAATGGCCCACAGAAAACAGCTCGAGCCCGGCCGTGTGGCTCAGTGGTTGAGCGTTGACCCTGCACCAAGAGGTTGCCGGTTCGATTCCCGGTCAGGGCACATGCCCAGGTTGTGGGCCCGATCCCCAGTGCAGGGCATGCAGGAGGCGGCCAACTAATGTTCTCTCTCATCGATGTTTCTATCTCCTTCTCCCTTCCTCTCTGAAATCAATTAAAAATTTTTTTAAAAAAGAGAAAACACCTTGAGATGGTCACTGGGATTGTGTCCCTGTCACTGGTGCAGCCCCCCAACCACGGGCAGATAGATGCCAAAGCGCAACAACAGGTGTTCCCACTGTGTTCGCTTGGCAGCACCCTGTTCCTTGCAAAAGAAGCGACGCTCACAGTGACACTCAGGTGGCATCTGCCTTTTGCACTGGGCTGACAGGCGCACCTGTGGACCGCAGGTGACAGTGGGCTGCGAGCAGCAGAGAGGGGGCGCGGCACCCAGGGAGGCGGAGGCGCCCGGCTGTGTTCCCAGCCCACCAGGAAGGGAGGCCCTGCCCACTCCGCCTGCCTCCTGCCAGAGCAAAGTCATTCACTGGGAAAGTCTCAACCGCAGAGCTCAGCCGCTCTCGAGATCCTGTGTGACGGGATGGGAGGCGCTCGGACAGTGCCACAGGGACCCGGCGACGGAGGGCCGGAGGGCGGAGGTGGGGCGCAGCCCTGAGCCCCAACTTCACCCAGCTTCTGTTCTCCCCAGCGCCCTTCTGACACACTATTCAGACTTGGGTCTCTGGCAGAGGTTTTCTCAAAAATGAACCAAGTGAGCCTCTCGCTTCCAGGAAAACAGTTCTGTCGTTATCTGTTGCCAATGGGAAAATCTGAGCTTTTAAACAAAAAAAAAAAAAATCAGAATTTTGGAAAACTTGTATCTGCCTCCAGCTTCTGAATACTCGATGATGTTTTAAATGTGACGGATAGCGCCCTGGCCGGTTTGGCTCGGCGGTCAGAGCGTCGGCCTGCAGACATGAGTCGCGGGTTCGATTCCAGTCAAGAGCACGTACCTCGGTTGTAGTTCAGGGGTCGTGCGGGAGGCAGCCAGTCGATGTGTCCCTCTCATATCAATGTTTCTCTCTCTCTCTCTCTCTCTCCACCCTTCCCTCCCACTCTACCTGATGATAATCAGAAAAATATCCTCAGGTGAGAATTAACAAAATAAAAAATAAAATAAATAAATGTGACGGATAGTGACATTAACAAATGTGATTTTTAAAATAATAGGGTGCGCCTGGCTGGTGTGGCTCAGTGGTTGAGCGCCGACCCCTGCACCAAGAGGTCGTAGGTTCAATTCCTGGAAGGGCACATGCCCAGGTTGTGGGCCCGATCCCCAGTTGGGGGGCACGCAGGAGGCGGCCAATCGATGTTCTCTCTCATCGATGTTTCCATCTCTCCCTCTCCTGTCCTCTCTCTCTAAAATCAATAAAGAAGAATATTAAAAATAATAAAATAAAATAATAGGATGCAACGAAACGTGTCAAGCTTTAGAAGTTTGCATAACTGTAAACAACGTCTTCAAAATGACCCAGGCACAGAATTACAAAATCATACATTCAAAGTTCAGGCCGGACTACTCCACTGAACATAACTGACTTTTTTTTTTTTTTAGGTTCCATATTAGAACGAACCTTTTGGGAGCCATCGCTTGCTGAGTTTTGGTGTAATAGCAAAGAAGAATGGCCTCAGTTCTGTGGATTGTACTAAACTACTTCTCTCTTTCCCAACTACAAAGTGCAGGAGGCCGGGTTCTCTTTTTGCATTTCAACTGAAACAGCGAATCGCCATATGCTGAATGCAGAAGCCGGTATGTGACCACAGCTGACTTCTCCTAAGGCGCACACTGAAGAGATTCGCAGAAATACAACACGATGCTTTTCGTTCCTCGCTTTGGAAAATAGAGCTACTTTCACAAAGTTATACCACTGACATTCAAATGCAGGTTGACAATGGGCTGATATTGTTATTTTTAAGTGACTTACTCCATATAGCTTTACGATTTCCCTGTTTTAATTTCTAGTGGGGTAAAATATCAATAGACATCACCCTTGCACAAAAAACCTCTCTGGATCCATACTTTCAAGAGTGCAAGGGGTTCCGAGACTGACATATCCGACCCCTGCTAGTTCACACCAAACTGGGTTTGTCTTTGAAACCTTTGGAAATGGACTGTGACGGTTCCTGCTGAGCTGGAAGCTGGTGCCACCAGCAAAATGACTAATTCGCAGGACGCCTGGCTTCTCATTCTGACGCTCCAACAAGCCAACATCCAAAAGAAGCATCTGATCCCAAGAGAAACCAGCCCACAGTTCTACCAGCCACACTCAGCTGCCTCCGGGGCATTGGGGGTGGGGAGGTTTCAGCACCAGGGGAGGTGGGAGGGCCATTGTCTGGGGAGAATGCATGTATTTATTTCTTTTAATCCTCACCTGAGGATATTTTTTCCATTGATTGTTAGAGAGAGTGGAAGGGAGGGAGGGGGGAGGGGGAGGAAAAGGGAGAGAGAGGGAGAGAGAAACTTCAACGTGAGGCAGATACATCGATTGGTTACCTGTCCTACTTGCCCCAACAGGGGCCAGGGATCTAACCTGCAACCCAGGTATGTGCCCTTGGCCGAGAATTGAACCCGTGACCCTTCAGTGCCTGGGCCGATGCCCTAACCACTGAGCACACCAGCCAGGGCTAGGGGAGAATTTAAAAACGGTAATAAACTGACTAAAAGTCAGTCCACCTGTTTCGTCAGTGGTAAATTATTCCTCTCGAAAAAAAAAAAAAACCTGTTGTTGGTTGAAGTGAGTCCTAATCATATAAATAAAAGCTTCAAATTGCCTGTTTTAATTACTTATCCTTTTAGAAACATTGTTCTAATGGATGGTAATAACCGCCAGCCGCACGGCTGGCCCCGTGGCACCGCCGAGGGCAGTCCCTAATGGTGGGCACGGGGCGGGCGCACGGTGTGCCCGGCGCCCGCCACGACCGCGGTCCCGCCTGCAAAGCGCGGACTCGCAGGGGTCCCGGGCGCGCTGGGCTCCGTCTCGTCCCTTCGCTGGTCTGCGTGAGCACCTGCAGCTGTGTTTCGAACGTTTTTTCTCCACGGACACTTGCAAGTCACGAGCATCGGTCTCGGGAACCGAACACACGGGTCGGTATCACAACTGCTGGACTCCCTGGGAAGTGGAATTTCCGCTTCTCTCCCGAGTGATCCTCACGCTGAAGAGTTGTCCTGAGCATCTGTGCATTGGTTGCTTCACGTCACAGAAACTCCTCAAAATCGAAAGCAACCACGTTTTTCCCGGCCATGAGGGAAGACCGACTGACAAATCTGGCGACTCTGTCCATGTAGTGAACAGAAAGATGTAAAGATCAATGCTGACCAAGTCGCTGACAGATCTTCAGACGATAGGGCCCGGGAACAGACACTGTCAGGTGGATACCCATGACCACCACCAATACGGAGGCAAAAGGTTTTTCTATTAAAAAAACTACGCCCTGGCCAGGTAGCTCAGTTGCTTAGAGTGTCGTCCCAATAGGCCAAGGTTGGGGTTCGATCCCCGGTCAGGACACATACAAGAAACAACCAGTAAACGCAAAACTAAGCGGAACAACAGACAGATGTTTCTCTCCTTTCCCCTCTCTCTCAAATCAATAAATAAAGAGATAAACTAAAGAATTACATTATTGTCATTTAAAAGCGTTAATCCATCGCTGTGTTCATTTGCACTGTGATACTTCTTTTAACTTTTTGACTGGCACGAAAATAAGTATGACATTCAATAAAGAGAATTCGCTGTCGGTTAATTCACTATTGGTGTTTGCTTTTTAAAACCTGTTATTAGTTTCATTTCCTGATTAGTCCTGAAAATAATTTCGTTGTCTGAAGAAGGAGGAATCACGTTAAAAACAAAAAAAAAGAAAACAAGAGGTACCAGATACACTCCGCGGGCTAGAAGTGCAGAAAACAGTAGCACGGTGGGTACCTCGAGAGTGATGGCCCCCACCAGGGAGGGGCGGCTAGGCTCAGTGATGACTGGGCTTCAAAGTCCGAGAGGCAACAGGGAGTGGCGGGGCCTGCGGCAACCTGCAGGAGGCAGGCTGTGCCCACGGGATGGGCGTGGGCAGGTGCCCGCAGGATGCTGCCGGGGGGACGTGGAGCCCGTGCTGCCAGATCATCTGCGTTTACAAAAGGTCAGAAATCCAGTCTTTCGGGGGAATTCTTCCTGTTTTTAAAAGTTGGTGAACGAACTCGGATGTTAGAACACCACGTGGGCCAACTGGACACATCTGTGCGCCGTGCGGCAGCCAGCTCTGCGTCTGCTCTGCATGAGCTCAGCTCGGCCTCTCCCCGCTCAAGCTTTCTCTTGGGGATGGCTGGCGCTCCTTCCAGATCTCCTGCACACGTCTCACACGTCTGCTCCTTCCCAGTCCCTCCGCAGGCCTTGTCCCCGAGCGCCGAGCCCAGGCCCGGTGCACACGCGTGTGGGGTGAGCACCCACGGCGTCCGGCTCCTCCAGCGTGCTCGGTGGGAGAGTCCACGGGACAGGACTGACCGCGGAGACTTGAGCCCCACAGCCACGCTCCCAGGCGGCTTGTCTCTGGGTCCAGTCCCCCTGGCGTTACCCAGGGCGTCTGCTTGCTGAGTGGACTGGCCCTGGGAACCTGGGGCGGTGACGATGGTGGGCATCACCCAGATCCTTCTCATCTTCACACAGAAGAGACACCTGATCGCTTGCAGCCGCCTCCCGGGTTCTACTCTCCTGTCCTTCGATCACTTTGGTAGCGTTCCTCTGGGTCCTAGCCCGACTTCTTGTTTCCAGACCTTTGTTTGAAGTGTGGCACGTAACTGTGTCCCTCACAAGGGGAATCGAGCCCCCGATTCTCTGCTCAGACCCAGCGCCCCAGAGGTGCACCCAACTCCAAGCTCCCAGAAACCTGGCCACCTTCCTCTGACCCCTGGATCCCCCACATCCCAGGAACCCCAGAGCGCCGGCCCAGCACCTCACCTTCCCTTTGATGCTGAGACCCCCGGTGTCATAGACGATCCCTTTGCCCACCCATGCAATGGTCTGGGTGGCTCCGTCCGGGGTGTGGCTAAGGACGGCCAGAGCTGGGGGGTGGAGGGCGGCCTTGCCAACACCATAGATTCCTACGGGAAGCACAGGGAGGGGGTGATTAGGCTCAGGGTGAACTGGGCAGAGGAGTCCCAGCAGCCCCCCCCCCCCAAAGACCAGTTCTCCCACCAGAAGTATCCTCTGGCTTTGGGGTATTTCTCCTGGAGAGCTGTGCGTCCAAGCCAAGCTCCCTGCCCCCTTTCCTGCCCCTGGCCAGCGGGGATGAGGAATGCAAATTAGTTCCAAAGCTCTGGACTGCAAACGAGTTCTATGCAAGCATTGTTAGGCAAGAAAACCCGCTGAGAAAAAAATATCGTATCGTTCCCAGAAAGAAATGAACAGGATTGCAGAATGAAATGATTTTTGGACAAGGCTTCAAGGTTGCTGCAGCCTACGCCTGCTCTCCCTTCCCTGAACCCCCGTGCACTCGGCACGCGGCCCCACCCTTCCCCAGCTCCCCCCAGCCTCTGCCTCGCTGTTCAGTTCATGCCCCATCTTCTCGAGAAAACTGTGGCCTGCCGTGGGCAGAGTCCCTGCCTCAGGTCCCTCTGTAACTGAACTGAACAATCACAAGAGCCAGGACAAGAGCCAACAACGGCTGCCTGACAAACTCCTACTCACCCTACAAAACCCACTGCATAGGATGCCTCCTGTGGGAAGCTGTCCCCGACAGGAGTGGCCTCTCCCTCCACTTGTAGTTGGCACCTCTAAGGGGGCCCCCATGCCCCACCCCAGGGCGTTTATGATCTCCCCCCAGTACAGGCAGGGCTGTCTCAGTTCTAGATACGGCAGAGGTGACGAGGCACCACCTCCGAGATGTTTACAGAAAAAGGCCTGGCCTGAAGCTTGCTCGCTCTTTCTCCCTCTGACTGAGACCCTGCCCCGAGGAAGCGGCTACCTCCTCGTGAGCCACTCGAGAGGGCCACGAGCGGGCCTTGCTGGGAGCGCATCCCAGGCCCGGTCAACTCTCAACTGCCGGCAGCCAGTCCACACCTCGACGGCAGCCTGGGGAGACCCCGGCCTGAGTCCCCGCCCACAGAGCGGTGAGGTCAGGACTGCGTCCCTCTCAGGGTTACCTTCCGGGGTAACTTGTTCTTTAGCCACAGGGAACAACACGGTGACCCTCCCCCAGCCCGTCTGAAAACACCTTGTCCCAGCCGTCCCGCAACCTGCAGGGCCTGGGGGTGGGAGAGGACCGGCCTGGCGATTAGGGAAGGCTCTCTGGGGAGGTGGCTTTGCGCCCAGGTGTGCAGGGGATGACAGTCCGGCCTGGGAGCACCCCGGGGGAACGTATTCCAGATGGAGGGAGCCGCAGCACGAAGCCCTGGTGTGGACGTGACCGTGTGTGTTCGAGGAACAGAAAGGCCCTGCTGAGTTGGCCCAGGGACCGGGGCGGCGCCACGTGAGGAGGCTGGAGAGGGAGCAGGCCAGGGCGGACTTGGATCCCACGGCTCCCAGAGTCTGAATCAGAACCTGGGTCACTGCCTCCTTCCCCCCTCCCCTGGCGACAGGCTGCTTCCCAGGGCCTGGTCCCGGGGTTGGACACAGGCCGGTTTCTTTCAGGATGAAGAATGGGACGCCCCACATGTGGCCCGCAGCCACTCCGCCAGCCAAGGTGCCCCGGAGGACGCCCCGAGGCCCGGGCCTGCAAGGGCCAGCTCCCACCCACCTCCAAATCCTCTTGTCTTCAGCTCCTCGTCCCGGATGATGGTCGGGGCGATCCCCAGCTCTTTTCCAACTTTCTTAATCTCCTGGATACGTGGGTGGAAAAAACAACACAAAGACACGTGAAGACGGCTTAGCTCCAGGCGAGGCCCAGGCTCCAGGCCAAGGACGAGCTGAGGGCTGTGCGGTGGGGGAGGAACCAGTTTGGAAGCCAGCGGCTCTGTCTCTAGCTCTGAGTGTGATTAAACCCAGGAGAGAAGGCTGGCCCTCCAAACTATGCAATTTCCTGGAGCTCATGGCTGGAGTCCTGCAGCGGGGCCTTCGAAGGAGGCTCTGTCCCCCTCCCGCCCCCGGTCGAGGCTGCCGGCCCCTTGGAGAGGGGTGGACAGCAGGACTCTGTCCCCAGGCAAAGTGCAGGGACAGTGAGCACTGTCCCCCTCCGGCCCCCAGCTTTCCTGTCACCCACTGGTCCACTGACACCCACTCCACCCTGGTCCCACTCCCTGGAGTGACCCCCAGGGCCACGCACCTCGAGGAAGTCGTCTGTGTTCATCTCGTTGCAGGGCGTGTCCACAATGCGGGCGGCCAGCCGCACGCCGTCCGTGGCGTTTGCCAAGCACTAGGGGAAAACCGCAGGCTGTCGCGGGCCCTGGGACGAGGTGGAAGGGGCCGGCCCTCCTTGTCCATCCCCCCCCCCCCCAGGGACCTACAGGCATCAGAGGCGAAGGTCACCTGGGGGAGGTTTCGGGGCTGCTGACAAAGCAGCCGGGGGCGGGGGAGGGGAAGCAAGAGTCACACAGCCTGTTCTCGCTCAGTGTCCCTGACCCCCACCCCGCCTTCAGAACCACAGCGACGCCTGGGCTCGGCAGCCCGGCCTGGCACACTGCGCCCACCTTCCTGTCCGGGCCTCCTGTCCCCCTCCTTGTGGCAGGCAACGTGCCCTGGGCATTCCACTGCGTCCTCTGCCGATCCCCACGCCCTCTCGGGGGAGGTGCCGCCCCTATTCCACACACGTCTCAGCCCCCCAGACCCATACGTTGAAGCCCCAACCAGCTCGGATGGTCTTCGGGGGCTCTGGGAGGTCATGGGGATCGGGCCTCCCGATGGGACTTGTGTCCCTGCAGGAGGACGAGACCAGAGCACGCTTGCTGCCCCGCAAGGACAGAGGCGGCGGCCGTGTAAGGCCAGGGAGAGCCCGCACGGGAGCCCCTGACCGGGAGCTTCCAACGTCTGCTGCGTCTGTGTTTTCTTAGGTGGCCTGAGCTGACCAGCACACCCTCCCTTCCTGCCTCCTGAGCCCCCAGCCTCCAGTTCTCCTGCACCCCCCAAAGGAGGGAAGGCACACGCCGGCCCAGCCTCCAGCCGGCTGGCCCTCCGGGAGGCATTTTTCTGACACGAGCCCTCGTGAGTGCCCACCCTGGTCTTCCTGGTCACCGGACGCCATACTGCTCTGGGCACGGGAGCGAGGGAAGAAACAGACCTGCCTTGTGCGGCTCACCCTCCACCCAGCACCCGCACAGAAGCAGGAAGCTGACACCGGCCCCCACAGGGGCTCAGACAGGGGCACACGCATGTCCCAGAAACGCTGTCCCCGCCGCTCTGCCAAGAACTACCATTACTTTCGCCTCAGACCCGCCTGGAAGTGCTCTGCCTTCTCGTGGCCTCTGCCCCCGTCGTGCCCCCATCCCCAAGCTCCGGGCGGGCAGCAGTACTGGAGGAGTCGTGCGGGTTTAGCGGGGGTGCAGACAGCATCACATTCATCCGCACCTTCTCCAGCCCCAGGACGACCATCAGGGGGTCAGGCGCCGCCAGCGCCCGCCCCCCACCTCCCAGGCCCTGTCCAGCGGCAACGTGAGCTCTGCCTGTTCTTAGGTAATTAAACCCCGAAGCCTCAAAGGCAGAGACGCAGGACTTGACAGCTCAGATATGACACACGGCTGCGGAGTCCTGCTGCCTGTCGGCAGGCTCTCCCCCCGGAGGCCCAGGGTCCCCACCTGTGGGCGGCACAGAGACCCACTGCTCATCTCTGACGAAGCCCGTGGCTGCTGTGTGGGAAGTGCGTCAAGGCCCTGGCAGGTGTCTCGAAGGAGGCCAGGTGGCCGCCACGCAGACCTCGGGGAGCAAGCTCCCCCACACAGCGGGCGCGGGGCTGCGGGCAGAGCATGCTGAGCCGCGTGGACTGGGGAAGAGCGTGCGCCTCGCCACACCTCGGTCTCCTCACCACCAAAGCAGGGTCACTCACTCACTCACTCCATCCTCACCAGAGTCTACTGTGCACCACACAGAACCAGAGGTGCCCGAGACCCACCTCCGGCAGAGACCACGACACACCATTCCATTCAGTGCCAGAGGCGGGTGTGAGGCACCAGGACCTGGACAGGGGGCTGCAGAGGTCCCCACGATGAGGAAAAGGCCACACCGGGTATCAGAACCTCCTGGGCTCATGAGTCCAGACAGACGGCGGCCGCAGGGACAACCTGACTCTACCCCTACGGGCGTGGCCTCAGAAAGTCACTTCGTGACTCTGAGCCTCAGTTTGCTCAACTCTAGAATGGGAATAACAGCAGGACCTGCCTCCCAGGGCCGTCGTGAGAATGTGGGGACCTGGCCCATGAGTGCACACGTGTGCTCAAGCAGGGCCTGAGACCTGTCGAGCACCCGGAGGACACTGGCCAGCCCGTGGCCTGCTCTGCCTCTGTAAGGCAGCGGGGCCACGCCTGGGAAAATCACGCATCAGCCCAGGTCCCTGCCCTCCAGGAGCTCCGGAGGAGACAGCGACAGGTTTCCTGAGACGGAAGGGTGAGATGGGACAAAGGACACCAGGGCGTGGCTGCTGGAGTGGGGACTGGAGGTGGGGAGGGCAGCAGCACAGTGGTGGGGTCTGACATGGCCACACCACAGGGGCGGGGACCTGACACCCAGTCCGCACCAGGACTTCTGAGCTGGAAATCACTTGCAGCTCTGCTTGCTCGCCAGGATTATTCTGAGGACCCAGGGTCGTAACATAGGCGGGTCTGCCACAGGGCCATGATGTACGCGTGTGCCGATGACAGCACTGAAACATGAGTGCGCCTGGCACCGCTTACGTGCTCAATAAACATGGCTGAGCAGAACCACGTCCAGGGAGAGGGAGCCGGGTTGGAAAGGTGTGTGGGGCCTTCTCAGGAACTACAGCAGCCCTCCCGTCTTCCCCAAGAAGGAAGAGCGTGCTCCCCAGACACCCTCCCCAGCAGCCCAGGAATGCGGGCGGAACACCCAGACACCCACTTGCAAAGTGGACACTTCCACCGGCCCATTGTCTTGTCCCACCAGGAAAAACTCCACCACGACGGTCTTCTTCTCCGTGCGGCGCGAAGCACCCGAGCGGTGGGTGAACAGTGGGAAGGCTCGGGCCAGGGCACAGGCGGAGGCGAAGGCATCGGCTCGCTCACAGACCATCTGAGCACAGAGGAGAGCTGTGATGAGGGGCGGCCGGGGACAGGACACAGGCCCCCTCAGGGAGCTGCCACAGGCAGGGCTGTGGACTCACAGCAGGTCAGAGGCCACCGTGCATACGATCTGGACACAGGTGCCCCAAATAAGCCATCACCCTGGGGCCTTCCCCCAAACTACTGTCTCGCTACCTGAGGAAGAAAACCTCAGTGAGCAGATGCCAGCTGGGCCCTCCAAGACAGGCAGGCAGGACACCCAGGGACCAACAGCAGACCCGTCTGGGTGTCGGTCTCAGATGTGCCTACAGAACTGATCTGGGGGAAATGGTTTCATCTCTGACCTCAGCTTCCCCCTCTGCAGAGCAGGGGTTACCATGTCCGGTTAGGGCAGCACCTGAGCTACTGGGGGCCAGTCTGTGCAGCCTGGAGCTGAGCTGGGGGGCAGGCTCCCTGCGGGGGGGAGCCCTCCTCTCTCAGGAGCACTCACCACGATGCACCGATGCGTCCCGGGGGGCAGGCAGGTCCGCACAAGTCGGGTGAGGAAGTGGGCCGCCGAGGGGCTGTTGTGCCGGCTCACCCGGGAGGGCAGGGCGGCCACGGTGGCATAGTTCAGGTAGAGGGGACAGCTGTCCGTGGGGTTGGGGTTGAGCGTGTTGAGAGCGGCCTGCCACAGCTGGACGGGAGGGGAGACAGAGAGACAGACACGGGCTTCAAACAGCGCGCACGGGGAGCGCGCACCGCGTGTGGCACGTGCACTGCGGGCGCCCGGGCAGCGTCCCCGCGGCGGCACCGGGCTGTGCGGGGGCTGTGCGGGGGCTGTGCGTGTGTCTGCCCGGCAACGGCACCCTGGTGGCTAAGCAGCGGGACGGGGAGGCCCGTATGGGGCTGGTGTGCTTGGAGCGGGAACCCGCGCTGGGCGCGCAGCCAGTGCCGCTGAAAGCGGGGACGAGCGCGCACTGCCCGGGGGTCGGGAAGGAGGCAGTTCCTTCGACGAGGCGGCGCGGGGCCTGGAGGCCGGCCTGGGCCTGGGCCTGGGCCTGGGCCTGGGCCTGGCGGGCGGGCGGGCGGACGGGCGGGGGCGCGGGCTCGGCCCAGGTGCGGCCTCCGCGGCCCGCCCGCCCCGCCCGTCCTATGGCGGCGGCGCGGCCCGCTCACCTCCTCGGTGACCCGGGGCTGCAGCTTCCCGCGGATGTGGCTCCAGGGCACGCGGTGCAGGTGGTGCAGCTGGCCCAGCAGCAGCAGCGGCCGGCTCTGCGGGTCCGAGTCCCCGGCGCTCGCCTGGAACTGCAGCCCCACGTTCGCCATCGCCGGCCGCCGGGCCGCTGCTCGGGCTCCCGTTCCGGCCCGGCCTCGGCGCCGCCCCAGCCCTGCCGGCCGCCCGGCCCCGCCTCCCCCGCTCCGGGCCGCTCGCGAGACGTGCAGGGCCCGCCCGGGGCGCGAGGGGGCGCGAGGGGCGGAGGGGCGGGCCGGCGGGCGCACGGAGCAGGCCCCGGACTCCGGGCCCCGAACTGCGAGCAGGCCCCGAACTCCGGGCCCGAGCTCCAGGCAGGCCCGACCCGCAGGCCCCGCCCGGGCAGGCCCCACACCCGGGCAGGCCCCCAAGTCGGTCCTGCCCTCAAAAGCCGGAAGCTCGGCTCTGCAGGCAGCCCTCTGGCAAAGGGCCTGGCCTCCGCCCCAGCAGGCAGCCAGCAGACCCTGGCGGCCTTGACCTCCGCGGCCCGAGCAGGCTCAGGCGCAACATCAGCTCCGCCCCAGCACTTCCCACCGTCCAGGGTACATGAGCCCTGAGCGGGCCCAGCTCCAACGTGAGGCCGGCCCACAGGGGTCTCTGAGGACCCAGTGGGGGGCCTGGGGGACCCCCGCTGGCAGGCCTGCCCTTCCCACGCCGGCCTGTGACTCCGGTTTAGCTTGGCACAGTAACTTTTGGACCCGTGCCAGCTCCCAGTTGTGTGAGGGCCCACTGCCTGGCATGCTGGACAGTGTCGAGTCCAGTTCTCCTCACTTAATGGGTTCCTCGACACTGCTCAGCCCCTTGCTGTTGGCCAGGCATGTCCCGGAAGTGACAGGTGTCCGGGACATGGGCGTCCACCCAGATTGCAGTTTCTGGGGTGGCGAATCATACATCCAGGCCTTGCCTTGGTGAGTGGGGCGCCCTCCCCCAGCCCGCCCCTTTGCAGGGAGAGTCATCTGGCAGGTCTGGGCAAGCTGCAGCCTCTGGCCAGGCTTGGGGGGAGAGGAAGGGACAGGAGAAGGGGGCAGTCAGTGGGTGGTTTACAAGACAGCACCCGGTGGACGGTGGGTGTGCCGTTGGTGGGGGTCTGGCTCCTGCTGTGGGTCAGATACACGGTTTGGGGATTGATGTCCCCATTGTGGAGACTATACCCAAGAGTCATTTAAAAATAAAAATGTTACCCCATCCTGCCCGTGGCCCGATACTCAAGGGCCTTTGGTCCGCATCCCTGTTAACCTCCAGGTACTTCCAAGAATCACTCCTCTTCCGAGTTTCCTCTTCATGAGCAACCTTTAAAATAGCAAAGCCAACTCCCTAGGGTGGCATCGGGGGCTCTCAGCCCCTGTCCTAACTCATCTCCCTCTGAGACTTGCAACCCAGCCGCGGGCCACACTTCACCTCCCCTGCCGTCCCCTCGTCTCTGAGTCCTCGGAAACCCCGACTTCAGCTTCTGCAGGCAGGTCCGTCTGCTCTCCTCCAGCGCCTGGCACAGAGCAGGTGCTCAGGACACGGTTCTTGAATGAGTGCAATGAATTCCTTCGAAACCCTCAGCTTTCCCCACATAAAAGTCGGTGCTAATTGGATCTTATTTTCTTCAAAAGATTTTCCAGCGGCTGAATGTTTTCACACATTTGTAAAGGGTATGAAGAGCACTATGAAGATCTATCCCTTTTCTTGTTTGCAAACAGTGCAGACAAGCGAAGGGCGTTCTGGCAGGGGCCGAGGCAGCGGGGGATCGCCCCGAGGGTGAGGGAGGTAAGTCGTGCTGGGTGGATGAAACAGGACGTGCACAGGCAAACAAGATGGGGAGGCACCCAGGTGAGGAGAGACGCGGCCAGAAAGCGCAGACCCAGGGTGTCACGGGGCTCTGAAGCCAGTGTAAGAACAGAGACGGGAGGAATGGGTGGCGGTGGTGGGCTGGGGAGTCTGACTCACTCCATCGACTTTTGCAAACTGGAAGGATCCAAGAAGCCTTTCAGAAAGCCAAATCCAGCCTTTCTGTGTACAGGGAGCTGGAGGGGGAAAGAAACGGTTGGTGGTGATGGTCCCAAGACAGGACAAACGAGATGATTCGATGCAGCCATATTTATTGAACGCTTATTCCATACAAAGCAGAGAACACAGTATGTGCTCGTTAGAAGCAGAGTTGCCGAGCCTGGGTTTAAGCTACCCCTGAATTGAAGAAATGCAAACTAAACAGAACGGTGAGGAATTACTCCTCTTCAGATGCCTGGCCGCTTGCAGATGCAGCGGTGACAGGTACGGATCCTCCGGGAAAGGGCGTTTCCCACTGTGCGTCAGACTCCACACTGCGTGAGACGCAGCTCTCCGCTCAGCTACGTGTTTGTGAAGCTCTTAACCCTCAGGTTTGTATGCGTTTCACCATCAGTGAAAAACTCACCTCGATTACATTTTCTTTAAGAAATGAAAATGAAAAATAACTTACCAGATCTTTAACGCAATCCAAGAAGTAACTTAGGTTTTTGGTGACTTGAGACTCCTTCCAAACTCAACTGGGTATTCAGACTTAATTTAGGAGTCGAGGAAAACACTAAAAACTTCTGGAAGAAATCAGAATAGAGTTCCCAGGACTTATTAGGAAGCTTTGGGGGTACAGTTCACATTCTAGACATATTTCTGAAACCACATCATGCGAGGCGGCTCCCGGGTCTATGCGCTGTTCCTTGTATGCTGAGCTCACCTGTACCAAACCCCCCAACTCCTGCTTAGACCCCACCCGTCCCACGATGCTCGATCCCAGATTCCATCACACCTTGTATGAGACGGAAACACGGACCCCCCCACCCCCACCCCGAGCACTTGCTTTATCTTTCTGGTGTTTTCATTCATTCGTTCAACATAGATTTATTGAGCATCAATTCTGAAGCGCTCCAGGCTGGGTCAGGCTTTGGGGATACAACAATGTGTGTGTGTGTGTGTGTGTGTGTGTGTGTACACACACAAGGGTGGGGGGCACATACAGTAGTCAAGTCCCGCAATCCAGTCACCAGGAGAGAGTGCAGAAGACACTGGAGCTGGGTCTTGAGGGTGAGTCCTGTGCCAGCCAGGCTGATCCCTGACAAGGAACTCATTCAGCCAGAGCCCAGAGTACCAAAGGGCACGGTGCGTTCCAGCGTGCTCACCACCTCCGGAGCCTGCATGCTGGTTGCTGGACTCGCTGTGTCCGCTGGCCGGCGTGTGGGCTTGACCCTGTGGGTCACTAGAAGCCAGAGGCGTGCCTCAGCAGGACGGACGTGAAGCCCAGGCAGGACCCCACCGGGCTGAGAATCCCGCCGATTCCCGAGGCCATGGGCCCGACGCCCCTGCGCAGCTGGCCTAGAAGGGACCCCCACCTCCCAGAATGCCGCCTCCCCTCGCCACACCCCAGGGCCTGGACATCAGCGAGCGCCTCAGTCACACTTTGTAAACATCGTCTGATGTGGCCCTGGCCCAGCTGGCTGGAGTGTCATCCCCATACACCTAAGGGTGGCGGGTTCGATTCCTGGTCAGGGCACGTGTAGGAGGCAACGATTAATGTTTCTCTCTCACTTGACTGTCTCTGTCTCTCTCTGTCTTCCTCTCTCTCAAATAAAAAAACAAAAATAAATATTCCGAGACGTGCCACCTAGATTTGCGCTCGGGGTTCCCTGAAGGATTGAAAAATGAACTGATCGCCATGAAAATCACATTTCTCTAGAAACTGTTTTGAAAAATGCATTACCTTATGGAAAAGTTGAAAAACAAGTACAAACAATACCCTTTACCTATATTCAGACACAGACATGTATTTTTTTCTTCTGTACCATTTAAAGTGGGTTGCATACATTTAACCCTAAACACCTCCGTGTCTTTCTTAGGAGCAAGGGACACCCCCCCAACCCCCAAGTCACACTAACATCCTGATCGTGTCCATGGAAATTTGTCATTGAAGCGATGCTTTTATCTAATATACAGTCCACACTGGAATTGCTTTAATTGTCCCCAAAATGGCCTTCATGGCTTTTTTTCTTAAAATCAGAATCCAAGTAAGAACCAGGCATTCCGCCCGGTCGTCCCCTTGAATCCAGAACAGTCCCTGCCTTTGTCTTTCTTGATGCTGCCCCGTCTCCCTGAAGGTCCCAGTCTGGACTCGCCTGGCTGCCTCCTGATGGTCAGATTCGGGGTGAATGTTTTTGGCGACACGTCGTTTCCCACGGCACCGAGTCAGAAGCCACATAACCTCCGCCGCTCCCGTCCCTGGCCAAGGCCAGTTACTCGGTTTCCATGGTAGAGATGTAAATCCCCCTTCCTGATAGAACTGAGATCAGCTTCCTCTTTACAATGTGCCGCGTGACACTGAGACCCCGCAGATGTTCTGTTTCCCAGCAACCTTTGCCTCGGTGGCTCGTGTGCGCGATGAGGTGTCTGCCGGAATCAGCCCTGGCTGCAGTGGTGACCTAGCCGTCGCCTCCCTGCTCCATGCAGCACCCGGTATCCTAAGTACAGAAGACCCCCCGCCGCCCCTCTCCCCGGACTGGCTACGCGATGCACGTGGCTCAGTGCAGAGCTGAAGGTGCACCAGCTGCTCTTCAAGGATTTTCAAGGCGCCAAGAGCAGAGTGCTGAAGCAGACAAGGGCCCCGGCGACCGTGACGGATGCACGCCGGGCCGCCGCCCTTCCCCGTGATGCACTGTGGCCGCTCCTGGTGTCCCCACCAAGGCCAGCGAGCCCATCAGGCTGGCTCCTGCCTTCTTCACATTCCTATCCGTTTTCTGAGTATTTTCGCCCTTTCTGGAACAATAAGATCATCCCCAAGCTCACTGTGTCCCTTCCTTGCGCCAACTCTCAAGTTAGCCATTCCTCTAAGAAACCTGTCCTGGGAGTCGGGGGAACAGGTGTTAAGAAACCCGGGTTTGGCTGGAGGTGTGCTCACTGTGCCCGAGTGTCTGTTTCTGATTCTTGCAGAGGCTAGGAGTATCATTTGTTTTCTTGAATCTCACAAGGTCACACCGATTCCTCCTATTCACACCCCAGCACACTCCTCCTCACCTGCCAGCACCCCGGATCTGTGCCTCCATCTCCCACAGTGAGAACCTTGGTTCCTGATCACCCTCCTAGGGACACTACTGGTCCTTTCCTACGCTTGCCGGACAGCCTCCACTCCCGACAACAACCCTATTATATCAAGTT